AGCACGCCAAGCTTTTTAGAGGCCAATTTGGCCTTCCCTTCCAAGTGACCACGAAACTGCACGTCACTCGGTATGTCGACGCCGAGGATTCCGATACTGGCTGAGGCAACAAAGGGAGTGCCTTGAAACTGAGGGGATACGACAAAGGGGTTGCTTTTAGCGGTTAACGCGCAAACTTGTGTCTTCTGGGGGTTAAACTGGACTAGATTTAGTCGCCCCCAATCCGAGACTCTGTTCAGCAGAGACTCGACTTCAGACACAAGTTTGTCCCGGCACTCGGAGACGTTTTCCCGAGAAATATTGGCTCGGCCGGTGTAAAGAGCATCACCAGTGCTGTCATCTGCATAGCAATGAATGTTACGGGTATGCAACATGTCATTGATATGCAGAAGAAACAGCGTTGGCGATAGCATGCATCCCTGTGGAACACCAGCATTAATAGGCTTGCAATCGGAGCTTGCACCGTCTACAACGACCTCGATGCTCCGATCTGCAAGAAAGGCTGGTGATCCAATCGCACAATTTCTCGGGAAGCCCATAGGAAGGGAGCTTCGAAAGAAGCGCTTTGTGCCAAACCCGATCGAAGGCCTTCGCAATGTCCAAACTAACGGCCAATGCCTCCCCTTTGAACTCTACTGCCTCCGCCCATCTGTGAGTTAGGTAGACCAGAAGATCACCAGCTGACCGACCACGGCGAAAACCGTATTGGCGGTCACTAATCAGCTGGTGATCTTCAAGGTACCTCATGACCTGGCAGTTTACAATGGACTCCATTGTTTTGGAGAACATGGAGGTGATGGCGATTGGCCGGTAGTTGGATGGGTCAAAGCGGTCGCCTTTTTTAGGGATCAGGTGGACGTAAGCCGTCTTCTATGATTTTGGGACTACGCCTAGGGAGTAGGAGTACTGGAAAAGACGCGTTAAAACCGGTGCCAACTCTGGAGCACACGTCCTCAGCACAATTGGGGGGATTCCGTCAGGCCCACTCGACTTGTGGATGTCCAGGGAGAGGAGTGCTTTGCGAACCGAGCGCTGTGTGAAGTGCACTTCCGGCATGGAGCACTCACATAGCGGGATGGTCAGCGGAGTACTCCCCCCGTCATCGAGAGTCGAGTTAGATGCAAAGAAAGAGCCTAGAAGATCGGCTTTCTCCTTTGCGGTATGGGCCAGTGAGTCGTCCTCCCTGTGCAGAGATGGAAGAGATGGCTGACAGAAATTCCCCTGGACAGCCTTGGCGAGAGACCAGAATGCACGGGTTCCAGAAGGAAGGCGAACTAGTTTCTCGCCAATTCTGCCTATGTGCTCTGACTTTGCCTTGGCAATGACTCTTTTGAAGGACCTAGAGGCGGAATTATACTTCTTTTTTAGAGCGCTTGTGTTTACATCCCGGGACGCTGATACATCAGCCTAGGCTTGGTAGCACTCCTGCTTATAGCATGATACTATTTTACAGGAGCGACCAAACCATAGCTGAGACTTGCCTCCAATGGGCACCACAGAGGAAGGAATAAAAAGTTCCATACCCTGAAGTACCACATCAGCAACAGAATCCGCAACAACGTTGGGATCATCCGGCGAGAAGCAAATCCGCCCCCAAGGGTAGGATGCAAAGAAAGACCGCATCCCATCCCAATCGGCTGACCTATAGTGCCAAACACGGCGGCAGCCTGCAGAATGCAACCGCGATTTCAGCGTGAGTGGCACCACACTCCGGACCAGACAATGGTCCGAGGAGCCTAAAGGGGCGTCGACGGAAATCTGATATCCGTCCGGGTGAGAGGTCAGCAGAAGGTCCACCAGGGAAGGTGCATGATCCTCCACATCTGGAATCCGCGTAGGCGAAGTAACCAGTTGTGTCAGACCATATGCCAAGGCAAAATCATGAACAGATCTCCCCGCATGATCGGTTAAACGTGAACCAAGCCATTCGGCGTGATGGCCGTTAAAGTCGCCGAGGATCACGATCTCTGCGTAGGGGATCTGCTGTAGCAACGAATCTGCAGCCATTTGGACGTGGTTGAATAGTCGGTCTGTTTCGGCATTACCGCTATGGGACCTATAGAGGCACCCGTAGACGCGTGAATGGTCGTCGCTGTCTACGCGTAGCCAAAGGATGGACAGGTCCGAACCTTCAAGTCTGCCGAGGCGTCGAGAGCAGATGTCCTCTCTGACGTAAACGCAAACTCCAGCCCGAGGCACAAAGGAGTGTTCCAGTTTGTACCCCGGGTAGGAGAGATACGAGACATCAGCCGGAGAGGACACCTGTGTCTCGGTCAGAAAGAGCAGAGCCGGCCTCGCCGTCTCGAGATGGTAGTGGACGGCGTTTAGGTTAGAGTGAAGTCCCCTGATATTGCAGAAATTCACGGACAGCGTGGCAGGGGTCGCCTGGATCTTGTTGCTCCGTTTGCCCCGAGCAATTGCAGTCTTGAGCGGAATTTTGCCCCCCCCCCCCTCCCAGAATACGCGGGGCAGCCTGAGCACCCACGCTCAGAAGTGGAGAAACATGGTCGTGGATGCTCAGCGAGGGATTCTCCAGGGGTACTGGTACCCTCCTGGGGTAGTCGATCATTATTTAATCCCGCTACCATGTTGATGGGGGGGGGGGGGGATTTGGGCCTCCGGCCACCTGCACTCACCAGACGAAACGCGGAAGCAGAGCTTCCACTTCACGCCGGTATTCTGTGAGGTCGTTGTACCACCCCAGTTTGAGCCGGCCCATACTTGCAACAGCAAAGCTGCCGCGTGGCCCTACCACTGTAAAAGAAAAAGTAAATTTGGTCTAGAGAACATTAATATTATTATTTTCGCAAATAACTACATGTACAAGAAATCTTTGTGATTATGTAGATATATTTATTTATAGAATAAGAGTAGCAAACGAGCACACAGACCACATGATTGCTAGTATACACTGTGGCCAATGAACATTTACACCTATCCTCGATTAACAATGATTGTCGTCAATTAAGGATCAAGATGCATTGTTACATCTGAGGACTAAGATGGAATGCTTCGGTTCCAGTAAAAAGAGATCTCCAGTTTACCATACGAAACACAGCACCATTAAGCTTATATTATACGCTGGTATTTTGTGAGAGTGTGGTCATTCCCCGATCGAGCTGTCCCATTCGTGCTACAACTATTATGTAGCTACAGTATCGATCGGCTACGATAAAATGTACGCTACGAATAAAAATTATTGTAATGTTCCGGTGGCAGTTATGTAACTATTGCGTTTGGGTAGCCTCGGCAGTTCGTTAGTTGAGATACCAGAGTTAGCACGCGAAAGGCTGCCAACCACGTGATTATGCGATATTGGAAACCGTCAATACCCATTGTAAATATTACTGCGATAGTAACGAATGGGTATCACAAAGCTTTATATGCCTGGCGAAAATACTCTGTAATAACAAGCTATGTATACCTTATATAGCTATAATGTATAATATCGGTAATCTAACTAGTATAACAAGCTAGTTTCCTGATTGTTATTAACCCGTGTAGTGTAAGAATATCCACTACCAAAAATTGTCAAATTGGAAACAAACCAATTATGACAAATGTCCTCTATATGAGGCAATCAGTAGGAAGGCCTCAGTTCAACAGTGATGTTTGTTATTGGCATAAAATTAGTTTTATTCACAGATATCGTAATAATAAGACAATAGAAGTCGCATAGACGCGTGACCTTGTCGCCGCTATGATGTATTGATGAATATCATTCACTAATTTGTGATTTAGTTGCGCGGGGAACGTAGTACGTGAATAATTTTATGTTATTATAATGGTGAACTACAGCAAAATCAGTTGTAAAATTTCATCAAGGACGTGTAATTCAACTAATAAAGGCATAAAATTTTATCGGTAAGTTGATTGTTTACTAATTACCATTGTTTTAACTAGTTTGTATTTAGGTGAATACTTTACTATGATATTTACCTTTGTAAACTTTCACTTAATACTTTTCCTACTTTACAATTACCATTGCTGTTTTTGTTCTACCATAATACGCGACGCACGCGACGGTAACAAATTCGCCAAGCAATGTAATGTGAAACATTAGATATCATTGTGCATCGCGTGTGTTTAAAATACGGCCTCAGGCATCAATCGATGAATAGTCATTTAACCGTATCTTTAATTTGAATGAAAGTACGGGTTATATCGATGTTTGTATAAAGGATATTATTAAGAATTTTGAATGTAAACTATAATAGTAATAATAATAATAATGCAAAAGGTGGTGCTCCTCGATACCGCCCGCATCGTGCGCCGGCTTCTTTTCCTTTCCTCCTAACCCTCGGCCGTTTGGTCTCCCCTGCCGAGGGCTTCCATCTGATTGGGCTTTTATTTATTTATGTATTTTTGTATTTATTTTATTTTAATTATATTGATGTATATTTATCTTTTCATTTTAATTTATAATTATATATTTATAGAACCCAACCAGATGAGGAAACTATATAGATACCCCACATAGTAATAATAATAATTTATTTGACTCAATTGATAGGTTACACTTATGTATTATATCTAATTTAAATTACAAAATTACATTTCAAAGTAGTTGACGTTAACGGCCATACTAGTATAAACTGTGTTACAGCCATCAGCGTCTTCCAACCTGAGTAGTACAATACAAATACAGTAAAAAATGACAAATTATTTAGCTATATAATACAAAACCATGTTAAGTTAAATAATAAATTAAAAAATTAAGAGAAAACTTTCTAATTACCACAAACCAGTGTGTGTATGTGTGTGTGTGTGTGTGTGTGTGTGTGTGTGTGTGTGTGTGTGTGTGTGTGTGTGTGTTGTGTGTGTGTGTGTGTGTGTGTGTGTGTGTGTGTGTGTTTGGGTGTGTGTGTGTGTGTGTGTGTGTGTGTGTGTGTGTATGCGTATGTGTGTGTTAGAACTTAAATACTGATTAAGTTCTAAGACACACACGGACGGAAAAAATTGCGCGGTAGTGGACCGCTGCAAACCGAAAGTTTGCAGAAATGTATACACCGTCTCAGTACCTCAGCTTAGACGAGTCCTTGCTTTTATGGAAAGGTCGTTTAAGCTGGAGGCAGTGTATACGGACCAAAGCTGCTCGCTTCGGAATCAAATCCTTTGAGCTTTGTGAGGCTGAAACCGGCTACTTGCTCCAATACCGGATGTACACAGGCAAAAATACTGCCATGTATCCCGGACCCTTACATGGCTTTAATGACAAAACCGCGAAGGTTGTCTTACAGCTCATGGAGGGGTACCTGGATACAGGGCATGTTCTCGTTATGGACAATTGGTATAACCAATTGCTCTTAACGAGATATCTTAAAAGCCGGTGTACAGATGTATTGGGCACGATAAGCCGCCGGCGAAAGGGGATACCACATGCTATAAAGGATTTGAACCCGAAGCAGCTGGAGCGTGGGGTGTCTGTAGGTAGACATTGCGGTGACATCGCGTTGGTGGCGTGGAAAGATGTCAAACTTGTCACCGTTTTGTCTACCTACCACCAACATTAGATGGTACCGGGAAGACGTGCTGGACAGGCGGTCCTGAAGCCAACAGTGGTTCAGGAGTACAACCGATACATGGGAGGCGTAGACTTGAAAGATCAAAAGTTGTCTATGTTCTTATTAGAACGGAAAAGAAACCGGAAATGGTACATGAAAGTGTTTAAAAGGCTGTTAAACACCAGTCTTTTAAACGCTTTCATTATTTATTTGCGGAACCCCATGTATCGCATGTATTCCCACCGCCAGTTTAGGCTGAAGGTCGCCGAAGGGCTATTGAGCCGATACACACGCGTTTCCTCGGTGCCACCCAGAGTACCGAATCAACTGCAACGGCTTGTTATTCGTTTGGAACCGGGGGAATCACTTCCCTATTTATACGGAAGCTGATTCGAGGCCGGGAAAAAAGAATCGCAAGCAATTGCGTTGTGTTCGGTGCACTGCTCTAAAAAAACTGGTTGTGGTCACAGTTATGTGCAAATTGTGCCAAGTCCCGTTACGTTTAGGGAAATGTTGGGAGGACTACCACACCGTGGCAAAATTTGTAACTGAGAAACAACTTTCTACTAGAGACTATAAATACTAATACGAAATTTTTACATGGTAGGATGTTGTATCTCTATACATATTTACACGGAAGAGTGATAGAACTGTGTGATTGTTGAATGTCGTGCATGAGTAGCATCGGGTGACGGGTCGCTCACTTCTCTCTAATATATATAAATATATAACACTTGTGCACCTTCCCTATTAGCAATTAACTGTAAGTTTTTTGCTAAATAAGGGTTGTCTGGAATAAATCGCTTCAGAGGATAAGACCGCCTATTTCTTATTTATTTCGTTTTGCCTCGTTCTAATGTGTGTTGGTGTACAATAAAGAATATATATTGATTATATTTATACTAGAGAGAAGTGAGCGACCCGTCACCCGATATATCATCATCGTTATATCATCATTACAGCCCTTCACAAGTCCACTGCTGAACATAGACCTCCCCAAGGAATGCCACAAAGCACGTCCATAGACTTCCTGCATTTCTTACCAGGTCGTCACTCCATCTATACCTCAAAACTTGAAAACGAGACTGTACAACCAGTGTGTGTTGCCAGTGATGACCTATGGAACTTAGACGTGGTCCTTCACCGGTATATAAATAATGCAAATTATAAATTGTAAATTGTAATGTAAATTGTATAATATAATAATGTTCTGTGATTATTTCTTATTTGTAATTGTGAAAAAAATGTGTACATATTAAATTCACGCGCAAAAATAATTTTTTCCCATCAGTTTATACCCTCAATAGTGTAGTTACCCAAGAAGTGGAGACTGTTAAGGACCTAGGTGTAGTATTCGATAAAAAGCTTACATTTATACCAAAACTACAAAACTAAAACGTGTAATTAAAATATCATCTCAGTCATTAAGTTTTGTTATAAAAAATAGTAAAGTACAAAAAAAAAAAACTATTATACTTCTCAATTGTTAGAAGTATATTAGAATATTGTAGCACAGTCTGGCGTTCCTATTATTCTACCCATAACCTTCGCCTTGAGCGCATACAGAAAAGATTTTTATGGCATTTTGCCTTTTCAACACGAAAAGCATATAAAAATGCATCATATGTAGACAGATTAAAGACATTCAATGTAAACGCCGGGACATTCTGGATTTGCAACTTTTATATAAAATATTCAGAAATAACTTAAATTGCCCTTTATTACTACGTAAATTTAATTTTCGTATCCCAAGTAGATCCAAGTAGAGAGCCGTAGTAGCTCAGATGGTTAGAGCGCTCACTGTAAATTTCACAGTACGCGAGCAAACCGGGTTCGATCCCCGCCGGCACCAATGAAATTGTTAATTGCAATTTTAAGTGCTGATTTACCAAGTGCTCGGCGGTGAAGGAAAACATCGTAAGGGAACCTGCATGTCTGAGATATAAGAAAAAAAATATTTCGAAGACATGTAAAGTTCGCCAACACGCGCATTGAGGCAGTGCGGCAGATAATCCGTGCCCTAAAACCCTTTCAGAAATGACGGGGGAGGCCTGTGCTCAGCAGTGGGGCGTATATAGTCTGTAACTTTACTTTTTACTTTACTTATCCCAAGTAGATATCCTCGTAAATTGATCTCCTCCTCTCTCGCCGCCTCTTCGTAGAAATGTGCTAGGATTTAATTCCTAGACTTTGCAGACTTTTAAATACCTATAATAATGTAGTATATATTCACCACGACTCTTTTAACGTTTTTCGGCACAAAGTTAATGAAAATATTAATGTTTGTTATAAGTAATTTTTTTGTTGTGTATTAATTTAATAATTTTGTTTCATTTTTTATTTTAAGTTTGTAAGGTATATTTTTAGCTATTTGGTAACGGCTTGTAAGAAATGCTGTGAGCACTAAGCATGCGGTGTTTACCTATTATTGAATGTGCACTTAGTTTATATAACTGTCTTAGCATAGTAATAATGTAACATTTGTTGGTTAACCAAATAAATAAATAAAAATTATATATTATTTAATTATAACTTTTTATTTGTAATAGTGAAAAATAAAAATATACTTTCAAAACTACAGTAACTTTAATTTTTACCCTATACAACTTGCATTTTGTCACTTTTTTTGTATGCCTAATATATATGTATTTCTATTTAGTCACAGAATTCTGAGATTACCTTTTATACTTAATTAAATTCTTTATATCATAATAGATGTAGATTTTTCTAGACAGTTTTATTATTTACCATTTTATCATAACATACTAAAACTGCATATCTTCTAAAAACATTCGAAAAACCTCAACATATTAGAGACACCATACAAACACTCACACTTACTTTGAACTAAAAATCTAATAACTCCGTGCAAAAATAGAACACGTTGTATACAACAGTCTTTGATTATATACCTATTATATAAACAAAGAACCGTGTATTACACAAGCGCGCGAACATGTAATAGAGCGACGCATATGAAAAAAACATAAACTTTGTAAGCGTTTTGCGATAATTCTTTGTAAGATAAGTGCAGTTGTAATTTACGTCATTGAAATCTGAATTTCATCTTCTAATTGAAATAATAATTATTTGAGCGATAAAAATCGGTCATCATACACAAATTTCATTGAAACTAAACCTTATTGGTTTATAATGAATTACGTACCTTCTGAGACATTTAGCCTTTTTATAAATAGTTTATTGCATGTATATATATTCATAAGGATATCATATTATTGCTAAATGTTATATCTATATGATTGTATAAGAAAAATAAAGGAAGACGCTATAATATATACACAAAAAGGTTTTGAAAATGAGGTTACAAAGCGCGCGCAAACTGTCTATTGTCGAATTTTTAGCAAATGTTTGCAAGTGAAAAAGTAGAATTATCATAATTATTACATGCATAATTTTGATTCATTTAGGAAGAAAATGTTGTATTGATTGTAAGGACATAAAAATAAAATAAAAACTTACGATATTTCATTCATAAAACAAAATTTATTGTCAGTAAGTACACTTTATCAAGATCCGTTAGAAACAAAGAGCTGTACATAATAAAATAAACATTTAAATGTTATGGTTATTGTTTCTACTTATCGAAAATCTTATCGGTTTCAAATAACTGTAACTAAAACCTATTTAAACATAAATGAAAGGTCGTGAGAAACATAAATATTTAAAACAAGTGCCGCCAGCTGAGGTGATGACAGAGGCCGCCGTACAAAGCTGTTTTTTGTTATGGCGGGCGCAGTAAGGGAAAGGTTAAGATTGCTATTTGAGCACGTTCTAAGGGGAGTAAAGATGTTTTTCCAATTCCACCTTATGTTGCAATGCAGTATTCTAGTTAACTTTTAAACACATATCAATGTTTCAAAGTCAGCAGAATTCCTCAATTTATTGAATATTGGTATTAGTTTTCTAATACGGCAGATTAAATTGCTTATATGCTTTTACCAAGATAGGCAGTAGTCAATAATAATTCCGAGATATTTTATGTTAGTGAAACGAGTAAGTTTTGGGCAGTTGTATAAGCTATGTTGTTCACATGTATGTGCTTTGATATAAAACTTTGCTGATGGTTGGGTACTGGCACGGTGAGTGAAAGTAATATATTTGTCTTGTTTACATTTAATGTCAATAGATTGCTACTAAGCCACCGCATGACCCTACCAAGCGCATATTCTGTATTTTGTTGGGCTTCGTTCCAGTCCTTACCATATACAATTAAAGCCGTATCTTCGGCGTACGAATTGATTCTGCAGTTAGGCAAGGTAAGTAAGCATAAAGTATTTACGTAAACTAGAAAGAGAGTTGGGCCTAGTACGCTACCTTGTGGTACACCGAACGAGACAGTTGTAGGTAAACTAGTGTAATCACCGATTTTAACTAACTGCGTGCGATTAGATAGATAAGATCGAAATATATCTAAAGCATTTCCTCGTACGCCGATCTATTCTATCTTATGCAGAAGTAGGGGAATAGAGACAGTGTCGAAGGCCTTTGACAAATCAAGAAAAACACCTATAACTTTCAACTTGTTATCAAGATATTTTGCGATTGTCTCAGTTAGAATTAAATTTGCATCTTCAGTAGACTTACCTTTCATAAAGCCAAATTGATTATCTGAAATTATGTTATTATATTTGAGAAAATTTGTGAGTTTGAGATTTAAAACTTTTTTCAAGAATTTTGGCTATCGCACTTAGTACAGATATAAGCATGTAATTTTCGACAGTGTCTCTGTCACCACTCTTATGTGTAGGGTGAACTAAAGTTCTCTTGAAAATATCTGGAAAAACACCAGTTTTTAAACAAAGGTTACACAAATATGTTAGGGGGGAATCAGACACGTTTTTGGCACGTTTTATGACTAAGGTAGGTATGCTATCGATTCCCGTGGCTAAATCATTTTTTAACTTTTTTGATAATAGCTTCTATCTCGTAATAGTCTGTGTCAAGCAATACCATAGATTTATGTAAGCGGTTAGATTCATCACGATCTT